TCAGCCATCTCTTGCCAACCTCGAAGTTCAGGGTTCTAAGCCCCCCCTACGTGGGAGTACCCAACTCTGTCTCGAAACATAATCGTTACGTATCGCCACTTGCTTATTGGATTATCGTTCAAAGAAATCCTGTATTTTCGGCCCTTCTGAATGTCATTGGCCTCAGGGGGGTTGAAACACACAAAAAATCACACAATTCGAGAATATGATCTTCTGATAAAGTAATAATGGGAAATAATGAAAATAGTCGAAAAAATAAAAACTAATGTTTGAAAATAATATAAAATAATAATAAGTTGCAATAATACCATATTTTAAAATAAAATGCCAACTATACTAATATCAAATTCAAAAATACTTATATAAGAAAGAATACAAAAACTTTTTATTTTATCTGTATGGGTAGTAGTCAACAATAGGGCTATTTGGGTTTTTTCATAAAAAGGCTGGGAGGATTCTCTCTTTCGTATATCTTCAAATGTATTTAGTACAGTTTGAATTTCTGTCTAATCCTACATCTTTCCCCTGTAGTATTCAGTTCTCTGTACTTGGATCCCAGCCACTTAAAACCAACTGATCCATCGTGTCCTGAAGGTTGTCGTTTAAGAGTAAGACGAAATTCTGCCAACTGATAATATGACACGCAACAATTAAACCGCTCATACTACTGCTATGGTAGTCCATCACCATCTTCACAACATCCAGAGTCAAGCTTTTTCAAGTACGTTGATGCAAAACAACACTAAATCCATTTTATTTCCAGATTGTATATTTCCATTTCTTTTAACCTCTTTATATGTCAAAGAACAGCTTTTTGTCTTCTTCTGCTTCATACGATAAAAATCTAAAATAATCTTTGATTGCATCAACGATACCGTATTCTTGCTATAACTGTGATGTTAACAGAGAGATTTATTCCATCCTTGGTGATACCTATTTGAAACTAAACTACATCCTTCTTTTGTAGTAACTCATGCTTATCGTCTAAACTAGTATAAATAAAATTCATACTTAGCCACAAATTCATACTTTATACTTTTTTTAGCATTAGTTACTATGTTAACTTTTCCTGGATAATGATCTTGATAAGGATTGGAGCATCTTAAAGGTTTAATAACAACACCATTCAAGACTTCAGGTTGAACGCTTTCTCTTGGTACAATGTTAGGAGGCAATATTCGGACAAATTTAGTACTTTTGCTGCCTTTTTGGATTATTACATATTCTACTTCTTGCGTTACTTCCAATGAAAATGAATTACCGTCAAATACATTATAATGGAAAAACACTTATTTGTCATGATTCTCTATTTCAATAAATTCAAACGTGTTTTACAGAGCGCCAACGAAGCCTCTGTCGGTGAATTTAAAACCATTTCTCAATTTAGGCAATATTCTGACGTGATATATAATTTGTCATCTTTGGACACAATTTTCCTAGTTACATCAGTGGCTTCAGTTTTATCTGGTTTATACAAAGAAATAGAAATTGTGGGTTTACTTTTTACAAGAGTCTTCATCTCTTCTTTACCATTTAGCTTCAATATACGTTTCAATTTTGTTAAATTCAATACTATCATTGGTGATTTTTAATGAAGCCTGACCTAAAATATCAACTCCTCCAACTGCCTAAAATCATTACTATAAGGCATTACAGCACTACAAACCATAAAAAACCAGATAGACTTCAATAAATAGATTGGCAGATATCCAGATAAATAAATCGGCACCACAAACCGTATCAAAATGAAATTATTTCCATCTATAGTAAATTCTTGTACAAAAGATCCTCTTGTTGGAATCTGCAAATTACCAATTCCTGCCAAAGCTATTCCTTTATTAGAAAAATTCTGCATCTCAAAACACACATTTTCTTGTAATAGACTTACGGAACTACCTGTGTCGACAAACGCGACCACAGTTCTGTTATTTATCTTTATTTATTTTGTTTTAGGTCCTTCTGTAAACATTGCAGAATGGATTTCAGTAACATGGATATTTGATGTTTCCTAATTTATTCAGAAATATTGAACTGCTTTTGTTTTGCTTCAGCAATTTTGGGGCCATAGGATCTTAAATGTCAGCTATCTCCACATTCGTAACATCTCAATGAACCTTGTTTTCCCCACTTATCAGGGAGTTTATCTCCATACGATCCTCTCTCATTTACTTTGTTACGATATTGGTCCCTGCTGAATTACTCTCGTAATTTTGGTAAGGATTGTTTAGGAAATTTAGATTGTTCATGTTCGCTGTTGGGAAATGTTTTAACAGGTCTTTTTAAGCTCTCATAATTGATAAGCTTTTCAACTAATTCTACACGCGAAATAATATCTAATATCTATAAAATGGGGCCTGATGGCCGAGTGGCTAGCACTCTGGCACTCGGTACCACACGTATCGGGTTCAAATCCCGGCTTTGCCATGGGTGTTTGTAGTGGTTCGGAATCCACTTTAAACCGTAGGTCCCGGTCCTAATAGGATTGTAGAGCGTTGCAGGGGCATTGTTACTCGGCGTCCGTGGCTTATCTTCAAGTTACACGCGCCCCTGGGTAGTGCAAAGTGAGTAACATCGGTGCAGCCCTTACGGCATAAAAGATCACGGTCTATTTGCCAGCTACATTAGAAGATAAAAAACCTATAAAATCGGACCCATTTTTTAAATTTTGTTCGTGATTTTCAAATCTCTTAGTTGATCGAACGTTATTTTTAAAGCTAAGCCTTCTGAGCCTTCTCCAGCCTCAGTATTGCTTTGAGTTTTCGTATGTGTAGCGAAGCAACTGATGGATGCGAATTTAAATCGTTTCAGTAATAATTCTTTTACGTAGTTGTAATTGTTAGTTTTTTTCCCCTCTGGTTTACGAGCAATTAGCTGATATATTTCGTTGGGAAGTAGTCCTAAAAGTTGTGAGACCCCTTCTTCTTCTTCGGCCTGATGGCCAATTAACTAGCGCTTCGGCAAGTCAGGCTTCAGGTTCGAATCCCGAAAGTAGCATTAATGCTTGCTAGTGGTTCGGAATCCACGTTAGGTCCCGGTCTAATTAGCCCAACGTGTGCATAAAATGACCAACCTTCTTTCCAACCATCTTCTTTTAGTAGTGATACACGATTTGCTTGGCTCTCAAACAGAACTAAATAAAAAAATGTTGTCATCTCTAGCTTTGAAATTTCTAAATTCTATACTAGGAGTGTTTCCGCTGTTATTCGTGATTTTCACAGTTCTAATGAATTTTTTCACTGTCGTTCGCCTTTTTTCGTATTTATCTCATTAATAATTATGCTCCATAACTCCTTATAAAATCCCTCACCATAATCATCACTTTTAAATATAGCATTCTAGTAATCAATAATTCTAAAATCAGGTTGTGTAGTTACTGTTAATTCTTCACAAAATTTTCAAATCCTCCTTAAGACCTTTTGTCAAGTAAGTCATTTTAAATATTCTTAAAATTACATTTGAAGACAAAAAATAAAAATAAATCAGTTTCACTCACAAATGGATACTAGTTTCAGAATTTAAAGCACATGATAGACAATAAAAAATTAATAGTAATCTAGAAGCAGAAACATTTGTAAATAGGGTTTCAATTAGCATAACATATTTGTATCACGCATATATTGTTAAATTAATAAAATAAACCAAATGGCACTTTCTTTATATACATAAAAAAACACTTTCCTTCCCATTCCGAATTAAAACAATAAAAATAATAAGATTATGTAATTTATTCTAATATTCTACTAGTTAATATTCAACCCTTTAAAAAAAAATCATAATTCAAGGAATAAAATATATATAAAAAAAAACCAAATTACTCAGTTTGCGTTTCTAGTATTTGCCTAGTAAATATTCATCTCTAAGAAGAAGAAAAAAAATAAAAAAATAAAAAACTCCCTTTGATTTACGTAATAAAATATATATAAACAAATTATTCAGTTTGCGTTTTGATTCGACCGTTAGAAGAACTGCATTCAAGGTCAAATGAGTAATAAATATTTCCTTCTACATTAGTAATAGAAGTTATGATATAAAATAAGCCAGTTTGATTAAAATAAAAATAAAAATTTTTAAACAAAAGAATACGCTTAATATATGTTATCAATAATATGTATTTCAAATGGAGAGGATATCAGAAACAAAAAAAAAAAATAATAATAATACTTTAAACAACAACAACAAAAAAATACCAATTGTACATAACTTTCTTTCTAAAACAGCATTTTAAATTTAAGCACAATGGAAAAAAAAATTACGTTAACACAATCAGTTTCATTTTAAAGAGAAAAAAACACATGCTAATTAAAATTAAATTTCGTCATAAAAAAATTCGACAGTAAAAATTATTGTCCTTTTGGTCGGTAAATGGAAGATTTGATTTGTCGCTCTACGGTCATTTCTTTCTTACACACTTCAAACTAATTGGACAGAGACCAACTGCTTAACGTGGATTCCAAACAACTAGTAAATATCCGTGTCACAGATAGGATTCGAACCTGAAGACCGTGAAACCGAAGGCCAAAGCGCCATCCAATTGGCCGTCAGGGCGCATCCAAAGTAGCCGATATAAATGTCCATGTTTAGAAAACAGAAATGTAACTCTACAGATGGAGACTTCAAATTAGGGCCATTCTTGACTGGAAACAGGGATTTTCGGAAATTTCTTTATTTGGTACAGGTCAGCTCTTTATTTTAGTTAGGGAATCTTTTAAATTCTTCACCATTAATTCCAACTTCAAGCCAGGGAGACATTTTAGCTTCTTCACCAATAATACTAACTTCAAACCAAAGAGACTTTTAGCTTCTTCGCCAATAAATTCCAACTTCATGCTAGGGTGGCTTTTAGTCTCTACGTCCAACAGTCTACATATTAGACCAGCATCTACGGTTTAAAGTGGATTCCGTACCATTAAAAACGTCCATGGCATGCCAGGACTAGGCACCGAGAGCACAAGTCACTCAGCCATCAGTCTCACTACATATATTAGTAAAATAAAATAGCCAACGGCCGTACCATGCTGAATATACCGGTTCTCGTTAGATCAGCGAAGTTAAGCATCATTGGGCGCGGGACCACCTGGGAACACTGTGTGCCGTTGGCAAATTTGGGACCTGAATGGCCGAGTATCTAGCGCTCTGGCGCTCGGTGCCACAGGTTTCGGGTTCAAATTCCAGCGGTGCCATGGATGTTTGTAGTGGTTCGGAATCCACTTTAAGCCGTAGGTCCCGGTCTTCTATGACTGTAAGAGCGTCACGGAGCAAAAGTCAGGCTTCTACCTACGGGTGCTCCATCACAACAGAAGCTGCTTCCTTCCCCTTCAATCATGAGTACGTATGGGCTCGTGGGTTTGGCCAACCAAGTGGGATACGAAACAACAACAACAAACAAAATAAAATAGATTATCTTTTGTGCTTCCAGATTATAAATTTAATAAGTGGTTCATAAAAAGTGACATGGGACTAAAAACATGATATTAGGTGTCCATCTATGTTTTTAATGTAAACTATACTTTTGATAAATATGAGAACATTTGCCAATTCAGTATGCCACATAACCATGTCACTCAAAACTGCTTCAATACTTGTACTTCGATATTTTCAAAAATGTTTGCTTTTAAGCGAAAAAAAAAATGTACTTTAAGCTGTGGTATGCTGTTTGAGCTCTGCGGACTTTATATGTTTGTAGTATTACAGGCGAATTGAATCGAAAGTTTGCATGCTTGAGTCGATGTACAGGAAATGAGTTGATAAATCCATCGACCTGAAAGTTTCACCTCTGGGTTTGTAAATAATTATGCGAACTATGGGAAAATTCTTTAGTTCTTCGTTTTTATATTCATCATTATCATCATCATTAACGAAACAGTCCAATTGTGGGCTAAGGCCGTCGGCCTACTGGCAGATTATGAAACGAGAGATGTTTTTCTTTTTAGGGGTAGATCTGTCAGCTCTATGTCCAACGCTGAACAATCATATTAGACTGGCCCTTACGGTTTAAAGTGGATTCCAAACCACTACAAACATCCATAGCACCGCCGGTTCTGGAAATCGAAATCTGTGGCATTGAGCGCCAGAGCGCTAGTCACTCGGCCATCATGCCCCTTGAAAGTTTGAGTAATGGATTGATTAGAGTTATTCTTCTACATTGGCGCAACACCCCCATGCTAGGCCGAGGCCGTCTGCCTACTGGCAGATTTCGAAGCAGGAGATGTTTTCCTTTTTACGGAGTAGGGTTGCCAGTCCAACGCCTAACATTTATATTAGACCGGGACCAACGATTTATTATATTCATCAAGCTTCGCAAATTGATGGGTCAATATACAGAATTTTACATGCTTATACATTGGAAAAAAAGAAAATCTAAAAACAAACAGGAATGACAGAAACAAAAACAAAACAAAAAAAAATTATAAACTTAAAAATTTTATGATATAAGTTGATGTTTTAAACTCATATTTCAAAATTAAAATTTTTATTTGCTGCTACATTAAATATAAAAAGTTTTACTAAAAAGGAAATAACCATACTTAATATATGTATAATCATTATAATTGTCCATATTTCAGGAAATTCAATAAATAACTTATCCATATATAAATTGATTAATTGAGATTGTGTTGATTGATTTTATTGTGCAAGGAACTACTCTGAAAATAGCCAAATTAATTTTCAAGAATTTCTCTATAAAGATAAATACTCCCAGAACATATCTGTAAGATAAATAGTAAGTTAGCCGAATTTTTTCTTGCGAAAACATTTTTGCAAGATATCCCTAAGTACAGAATACGAAGAGCATCCATTTTTATTCACTTCTTTCGTTGTCATGGTGATGGTATTTGCTGGAGATCCCGCTCTCCCATTGGTTATCGCAGATCTTACGTCACAGTTGTGATAAGCGACTGGGACGCCCATATTAACTCTCGCACCCAAGTTGTGATATCAACAGTTAAGTTCTGTATCTGCTCTTCGCTGTGCATGGGTGAAACTTTCTCGTTTGGTGGTGGCCTTATTGGAACTTTTCGAATATGTAGAACACTTTTTTGTGCAGTTTGTTGAATTGAAAAAGCAAAAAGGAACATTGTTAATTGTAAAAGTAGCTTTGTTTATTATTTATTATTCTTTTTTAAAATTTATTTGGAAGACTTTATTACAAAGTATTAACGAAGGAAAGATTCTGAAGTAATGAAAACGTAAGTAATGATTATTTTATTCTAAAGTTCAATAATATTCATATTCAAATGATTTGTTTTTGCAATTTTAAAACCAAAATTATAGTATGTACTTAAATTAAATGCAATTAATTTTTTAGATATAAAAATTAATATATTATAATCATTTTTGAATATTAGATTAGAAAAAAAAAATGGAATTTTATTTATTTATAATAAATTACTTTTGTGCATTTTAGTGAACTTATTAATTTGTATAGACTAAGAAAATTATTTTCTTTTTGGTTATTTCCGTGTACAGTGTTTGTGTATAACAAAACAAATTTATTTATGAAATACGTAAATTCTTTTAATTTACATTTTTTATGAATGAATTTGCAAAAATTCTATTTAAATATATTTAGAAACTTATTATTTATTATTATTATTATTGTTTTTTATTAGTAAAAAAATGAAAATTGATATATATATATATTTTTTTTTGGCTTTCTTTTTAATCATCTCCGTAAAAATAATAAATTTTTATTATAAATAAATTCTTATTTCCATAAAATGAAATTTCGTTATTTTATTATTATTGTAAATAAAGATAATATAATTTTTGTAAAGAAAAAATAAATTGAAACATAAATGAATTAATTTTTTTTTTGTTGTTTCGATTTTATAATCTGTGAATGTAGATTGAATCTCTTATATTTTTATAGTATATTTGGATGGTATATAAAAGAGAAATTAGGTAAAATAAAAATAATAAATAATTTTTCCCTTGCTAACTCATCATTGCCTATTAAATATGTATATATACGCGTATGCAAGTATTTCTAAATTTAAAATGATTTTCAATTGATAGAAGATAAAAATTAATAAATAATATCATAGTTTAAATGAATCAACCATTGTTTGAAATAAAATTACATTTCATATGTTCCACGTTGATATTATATTTATGAATTATTGAGAAATTTAAAGAAATTAAATGAAACAGAATTAATTTATTATTTTTCGCCCTTTGCTTGTTCATGATTGTTCTTTTTAAATATGTATACACGCGTATGCAAGTATTTCTGAATTTGAAAAGATTTTCAATTGATTTAAAATAAAAATTAATACGAAATATCAAAGTTTAAATGAATCAATCATTGTTTGAAAGAAATTTCATTTCATATGTTCCACGTTGATATTATATTCGTCTAATTAGTGTCATAAGTTAATGGCATAAACAAAAGTCAGAATGGTCTATTGTAGTCCATGATTTTATTTGCTATAGTTCATGATTTGGTACTTACGTATTAACGGTACCTTGGCGACAGACTTGGCGGTTTTTAAGTGTCGCCAATCTAACAGCTACTAAGGTTACCAAACCAATAGAATAGATTGGTGCCACTTAAAAACCGCCAAATCTGTAGCTGCGGTTGGCGCGTGTGCTCTTTATTGGCGCAACTGTCGCCAAGGTACCGTTAATACGTAAGTACCCATGATTTTATTATTTAAGATTGGCGTATAATATTATTTGTGTTTCTTATTATTTTTGATATATGTGCTAGTTGATGTTTTTTATCCTTTGGGTTTTAATGTATTCCTTTGACGCAATTATTCACTGTTTATGTTGCATTATTTTACATTAAGCGAATTAAAATTAATATTTAATTTTATTTCCCTCGTCATAAAAATGGGTTTACATTTTGTAGCTAAGTAAAATAAAATATTATACATAAAAATGTATTTGTTTAGATAAAAAAAAATGTAAAACCTATTTTATTGCCACACATTAAGGAAATGTATTTCCAGTGAATAAAAATGGATGCCAATTTTTTTTTCTATTTCTTCCTCATTAATTTAAAGAATAATTAAAAAAATATAAATACAAAAGTATGGAATAATTTTTTGGCTGAAAATAGTATAGTTAAAAAATATTTTCGAAGATGCATTGAAGACGGAATACATTGTCATGAATATTACCACTAGTGTGTTGTATAAAATATTGTTTACTGACTCATTTTCAATTTTCGAAATAAGGATAAACCTAAACAATCTTATAAAGAAACCTTTAAATCCTAAGAAATATTATAAAGAAATTTGAATTAAAATTTAATTAAATAAGAAGCAATAGAGTGTATATTTTTCCGTGTATGAATATATATTACCACTAGTGCGTTGTATAAAATATTGCATATAAAATATAAAAATATTATGCGCTGTACATAATCTGACACAAAATATTTTGAATTTTCAAAATAAGGATAAACATAAACAATAGTATGAAGAATACCTTTTAAATCAAAGCAACCTTTTAAAGAAATTTCAAATAAAATATAATAATTTTAAATAATAATAATAGAACATAATTAGCTAACAGAGTGTATATTTTTTGTATAAATACATTATCCTGAATATTACCACCAGTGCGTTACATAAAATATTGTTTACTGACACTTTTTTTTTTGAATTTTCGAAATAAAGATAAATATAAACAATCTTATAAAGAATTTTTTTAAAACCGAAATAACCTTATAAAGAAACCTTTTAAACTTTAAACAACCTTATAAAGAAATTTCAAATAAAATTTAGCAGAAGAAGAGCAAATAGAACGCATTTCCATGCATTTTATATATGTACTCATATGTGAAATTTAAGTAAAAATATTTATTTAGATTTCATGTTCTTGAAAACCATATAATCCAATATCCGACATACTTTGGAAAATATAAATGCCTTTTATTGTTGTTTATGATTGCCTGGTCGCATTATATTGCTATTTTTATTTCGCTACACAGAAAGCAGCTTTGTGTAACTTGTCTTAAGCAACTTTCATTAACTTGATCTGCTCAATACAATGAATATTGGGAGAGATTTTTGTCTACTATTCGGTATATCAGCTTGAATAATAAATGATATACAATGCAACGGTTTGATCAATGCCACATTTATC